CACGAATTGTTGAAAGGTTTCAATATAGAAAATTCTAAGAAAGAGATTGTTCATATGCTTCATACCAAGGACTTGAGTGAATCTTAAAGTCCTATGTTCTAGTCATGAATTTGATAAAATGGTTCGAGTCCCATATGCCTAAAATATAGGATCAATCATGAATGTTAAGACTTGTGCTTATTCTGATGTCTCAGATGTTTTGTGCATCAGGAGATTGTGTCAGAAACTGTTTGACGGAATCATTAGATAAATGTCAAGAACATTCTAAAGTATTGAAAGATACCAAGTAATGGTTTTTTGTAGACAGTAGAGAACATGATTGAGAAAAGTTATAGTAACATGAATTTTAGAGATGACTTTGCGTCATATTCTAAATGGATATTCATTTTTGAGTTGTAGCAACAAAGTTTTCATGCAGGAGATGGTGGTAGATTCGACAATGTGTGTAAGACCATATTGGTGCAAGTAAAGTATCCAAGGAGCGTACTTGGACTAGAAAGCTTCATAGTTGACCTTGGATTTGTTTTAAGTAACAAATTGTCATTAGAAACATTCTGTGAGAGTGCAGTCATGTTGACTAAATATTCTTGAGATCACAAAAGATCAATGCATAGAAGGAGGAGATTCCACTACATCCAAGATAAAGATGAGGATGGATTCATAGTTGTGAAGTGAATATCTTTCTGATGATTCGTTCACAATAATGATAACCAAAGGAAAACATGATATGCATGTTAAGAGCATTGGCATGGGAAATGTTGACAAGTTTATTCATTAAGTCGATTACCTCGAACATTTATACATTAGATAAATATGTAATTGTTATGGTGATTAGATAATAGGGAATTATTTATATTCAAAGAGTGTGAAGCCATAGGACAATTAGTTTATTATTGTGTTTCATTTTGTGTGTTACATCCTGAATATTAATTTATTCAAAATGCCACAGTTAGTCATACTTTGGGGAGTAAGTATTGATTTAAGACTGTCATGAATTGATTGTAGATTGTCCATATGGATTGAACATTGCATAAGGATTGCTGCAATATTCATGAGTACTTTGAAAATAAGGATTTTAATTATTGGTTAAAACCGCGCTTAGAGATTACTTCATGGATTCAATCACGAGTAATTCTAAGACGATAACATCTTCTATTCTTCAAACAGAGATATATAAGTCATATTTTGCAAATCTGTTGTGCATTGGTTTACACCAACGCATCTCCTAACTGAGTGTTATAAAGTGTAATTCCATGCATGATTTGGTGAGTGAAATTGATGATTATATAGTCGAAGTTTATCCGTTTCTTTTGCATTAATAGGAAAAGTGATATCTTTGGGTCCCTCGATGATTTGTTGCCGACAGCTGAAGTGTTTGGCCGAGCCCAGACTAAATTGATGTGTTAGTTGAGTAATTTGAATTCAGTCATCATAAATCGGGAAAGTCGAGAAACAAAATCTTGGACAATGAGATTGATTCTAATTCATGTCTTGTGTCCATACATTATCTTGTAGAACGAAGGGATAGTTGATCACTTCTCTTACGACCAACGTCTAATCAGAGTTTGGCAATGTCTTTGGAAAACAATATTTACTGGTTATTCGGAGTTGTACTTATAATTAGAGTTAGCGAATTATCCAAGTAGGAGAGTGTCGGATTAAGTGTCTAAAGTCCTAACTAAATTAGTATAATGTTGATGAATAAAAGTAAAGTTCTTTTTAGGTTGCCTTCATAACCAGGAAATGGCCTGGATTGATCAAAGGAGAAAGAAATAAAATGTTTTATTAATATATTATGTGATTAAGATATTAATTAGAAATTGTTAATTAATGATTTGTTAATTTATTATATGAATAATAAATTAATTAGAAATAAGTGATAGTCCACTAATTATTAATCAGAATTAATCTGGAATTAATTCGAGATTAATTGGAATTAATTAAAGGTGCAAGAGGTGACTTGTAATTATTCAATAGTTGAGCAAAAGATGCAATTCTAGAATGGTCCATAGTATGGACGGTTTTGGAGCCTTTCTTGGGGTTTCCAGAAGCCACCCACTTGATGGTATATAAGGAAAGGATTTGGATTGAGATTAAATCTATTATTTAATCCTTCAAATATTGCTTTGTCCCTAAGTTACCTAGACTATAAATAGGACCCTTGGGCACCTAATTTTCGTGACTCTCACATACCTTAAGGTGGAGAACGAAATTCTCCTCCTCTCTCCTATCTCTCCTTCAATCTTATGGTCTCTTGCACTTTGGGTGTGAACCATTAGAGGTTCGCACACTATTGGAGCTAGGTTTTCCAAGGAGACAAAAAGACTTTAATTAACTTGATTGGAACCTACAAAAGGTATGTAATCCTCCATTTAATGTGAATTTCGATTTCATCTAGGGTTTATAAATTTTATTATTCAATAGTTGGTTGCTTCTATAGTGTTATGACATAGATCTATTATGTTGCATGTACCCTTAAGACTATAAGGATTTTTCTACATTATTACATGTAAAACCCATCATGAAACAAAGCAAACTAAATGATTAATCGTGTTTATGCTCTCGATCTCTTTGTATCTTGTTCACCAATCGATCTCTGGCCTCCTTAGGGTTTCTAGGGAGTTTTTGTCGTCACTAATCGCTGCTCTATGTAGCACACTTTAAACTCAGACCTAATAATCGAATTTATAAGATTGCCTAAAACAAGCCACCACGTTGTGGAAAATAGCTCACCACATCATGGCGTCTTGTTTTTATATGTGCCCTCCAAGCTTTCCATGCAAATCATCCGCAAACCTTCTACTGTTTGACACATCACCACGTCGTAGTATACATATGACCACGACGTGGCACACAATTTTGGCATGTTTTCTTCTGTTATGATGATTTCTTCAAGTCATTAGCCTCCAACCTTGCATTTTACTCCATTTTCCTTGAGAATGTCTTCGCCGCTACAAAAACGAAATATAAACAAATTAAGTATCATTTATATTAAATAATGACTAAATGTAGCTAAAAATATTTAAATATTGCATAAAATGCATGACTGTATATAATAATATCAGTCATAAAGGCTCTTATGCTTACGTCCCAATCGCCTTCCCGGAGGGATGTGTGCATCCAAAAGATCTTTCATAATGTGCCCAATCCCAAAGTTAGTTCTATACATATGCCCATCATAAGGGAAAAAAACCAAGATTTGCTTTATTCGGTATCAAACGGGAGCTACGAGCAAATAGAATACCTTTCAGAATTATCAATACAGTCACATGAATCGTAAATGCATGAATGTTATATCCATTGTCTCTCTCACTACGTAACACCGTCGGCTTGGTCACCCAAGATTTTTCATTCTCCAGTTATGATGTTTTGTTTCAACTTCTTCAAGTTCTACTTCAAAACCCGTTCCTTTATTTTAATTAATTCACTCAGACTTATCGACATCCCCAGTTACAAGTCTTAGTGGATACAAATACTATTTTCCAGATGACTTTTTTCCTTTTCTATGAGTGTTTTCTTTACGTGTTAAATCTAATGTTTTTACCATTTTTATACGTATGTGTTGAACCAATTCAAAATTGAAGCTTCTATTGAAGCTCCTCCTACGACACTTTCTCCTTTCTTGGATGAATCTGATGATGTGTCGTCTTCTCCAGACACAGAACCTCTAAAGGTACACAAAATCCTACTTATGTCTCCACCTCCATAGATGGTCACCACATGACCAATCGTTCTCATATGAGGTCTCTTAAACCTAAACAAATCATCAATCTTTCTCTGCCACCTTTTGAGTTTTTTTTTTCCATACCCTGGTCTACTGCTTAAGATATGTGTGATCCCAATTGGAAGTCTAACATGGATTCTGAAATGTCTTCTCTGGCCTCCAATCACACGTGGGATCGTTCACAAGCCAGCTCTATATGCTCTGTTCTCTCGTGAAATACGCGGTTATTAGCAATGTAGATATAAATCATGGTTTCACATATTAGAGGAATGCTTAAGCTCCATTAGTATCTTATTTAACCATGCTAGCTCATAATACACACGTTGTATAGACCGACAACCGGTGAAATGGCTATGGCAGGCTATATTGATATACTTTGAATAAAAGTAGTTGGTTACCTTTCAAAACAAATTAAATTAACAAAAATGACTGAAACATACAAATTAGTAGATTGACAGTTCATGAGATTACCTTATTTGATATTGTATTATCATTTTCAATATAGTATTTTTGTTAGAATTATAAATTAATACAAAAGCTGGATTGAAAGTCAAGTGTCATTAAGTAAGAGGCAGATCACCATGTAAGAACTAAAAGTGATGTAGTAGAAATGAGATAGAACTTTTACAAGACAGAATTATACATGATTTATTTTACATGATTTCTTTCCCATGCTGTGTATGGCCCTTATGGGCTTATGGGTAACAGCCTCCCATAGATATTACAACCAATCACGATTGACAACGATAAATAGATATATAAATAGCTTACATGAGAAAAAACGAACACACAAAACCTATAAGAACTGAACAAGCTTATTCACCGGTCGAATCATTATGATCTGTCTCTTTTTGTAAGTTGTTTGTGAACAAATGTTTTCAATTTGCATTATACATAACTATGAACTAACTGTTGGAAATGGAGGATCCATCCACCTACTTAAACAAAATGAAAACACATACTTACATACATACAACACAAAAGATGCCTTCTACTTGTCTACCCTCATCTTATTTTGGTCAGTCCTCATTGGTAAATATACTATACAAGTAATCTCTTAAGTTGTATCAAGATCACAAACCACATGATGTCCCCTATCCATGAACATGGTTCATGATATTTATATAAAACCAGCCAACGAAAATAAGTAACAAGAACTCTCGAGTATCTTCTTCAATGTTAGCCCGATTATGCAACTTGTCAACTCATCTCTAAAATCTTGGATGAGAAAAACAATTGAAGCCTCTAGCAATTGATCATCATGTGCTTTTACTTTTTATGATCCCTTTTGATTGCTGTTAACTCTACGGGGAACCTGAGTTTGAATCACCAACTTCCTCTGCATATCCTTGAGCTTAATTAGTATTTCTTGGAATGTTGGTCGGGATTTTGGTTCACTGAGCAACAAAAAATCAAGAAAGTTGTTGGTATATTATGCCTCAAATATCACACATTGTATTTGGTGGTAAATTTGTAATTTTGCTACTAAGATTGAACAAAAGACCTGGACCAACAGCTTTCTATAAGAGAAGCCCATTGTGGATCGATGTCCTTTGGAATCTCCAGCCTTTTATTCATGAACCCTACAGCTCCAATAACCTGCAAGAGTCATTACTAATTAAAATTTAAGTTTTAATAACAACATGATATGCATATCAATATGCTATTAAAAAAAAGAGTTAGGTTTGACCATACACTTACAAGTCAAAGTTTTAACATACATGGTTTCAAAGACTAATAGCATGTTATGAAATAGAAAGAAATTCATATATACCTGCATTGAGTTCAGATGATCCCAAGGAATCTTTTCAGTAGTAAGTTCCCATAATACCACGCCATAGCTATACACATCCGACCTATAACTCTCCAAAAAATGTTCAACTTAAAAATCCAAATCGACCCATATTAATAATATTATTTTACATCAAATTTGAAAGAAAATCCATGTTATAAGCTTACTTTTCATCCACTTGCTCGTTACGAAGAACATCTGGAGCCATCCATTGAGGCTAAGAAAAAAAATTCTTAATTAGTTAATGATTAAATAAGTTTTTTTATTTAATATGTGTCAAAACAAAAAGTCAAGAAAGAGATTGTCATACTGTTCCTTTTCCAGTGTTTGTTGACAAGTAAGTTTCATGCTTGATACGCGAGATACCAAAGTCACCAACCTATTCAATTGTAAATTATTCAATATTATTTTATTTTCCTACTCAAGAAAAAAAAAAAAAACTAAAATTCACAAAAGTAAACAAAACAAACACCTTCACAGTCCAATTTTTATCAACAAGAAGGTTAGAAGACTTCAAATCACGGTGAATGATAGGTGGGTTGCAATGATGAAGATAATTCATCCCTCGTGCCTTTACAAACAAAAACAATTGTTAATAAAAAGATTATTTAAAAAGTATCACTCAAAATCAGTTGTTAATAAAAAGATTATTAACATGCGACTTACAATATCCATGGCCATATGAATGCGGCGTCTCCAATCTAATTTGGTTGTATTTCTTTGAAGTAACCCGAACAAACTTCCACTACATAAAAAGAAAAAAAAAATTCGATTTTTATCGACTATGTGTAATCATTACTCAAGGGTATTATAGACATTTGGTAATATTCAATCTTTTTTATGCAAATGCAATGATGTAACTAACCGTGGAAGGAACTCTGAAACAATGCATAGATGATGAGGTGAAGTTACTGCACCCATAAAGAGCAAAATATTCGGATGTCGGAGTCTTTTCATTAGAGACACCTTCAATCCACAACAAAAGAATATTATTTCACAAAAAAGAATAATATGGTCAAAATAATGCATTGACGAAAAGATTACCTCTTTTCTAAAGGATAGTATCACATCTTCAGGGTATTCTTGCTTGCTAAATACTTTGATTGCAACATCCTACATAACATCAAGATACATAACTTCATTAATTACCCGTTAATCCGTTATAACAAAAACAATTAAGCATGGTTTTAAAGAGATAAGTTAAGAAGGGCAAAGATGGAAAAAGTACCGATCCATACCACAGTCCATGATATACGGTCCCACACGAACCTGCCAAAATATATATAACAAGAAAATTAAAATTAAAATTAAAAATAAATAAAAGATTAAACCACCATAACGAGGGTAGCTATAGTCTATACCTTGTCCAATTTGTTCGTTAATTACCAAATCGTCCCATGATACTTCAACATCCAAATTGTCAATATCGATGTCAATTTTATAGATAACATTACTTTCTGAGCTACTTGCACCACATGAAGACAACGACTTTGGAGCCTCATTAGTATTAATAAAACTTTCATGCATTTGACTTTCTACTTTTATAGAAGCACTAGAACTTGTTTGTGGACCATAATCGTGATCTTGATCACTTTCATTTCCTTTCCATGGCCATGAAATTCCCTTTTTGCCCAACCATGCCTCTGCTTTTGAAGATAAAACTTCATGGATCCCAAGTTTGTTTTCCTTTTCACTACCCCTGCTAGAATCCGTTGAGGGCTTTACGGTAAAATGTCCATATGGAGATTTCATACTGTCGATACTACAACCTGCTTCTTGAGTATGATCACAAGGGGCAATATCGTAATAATGATAGTCTCCACTCTTGGTGAAATCATCCTCATTGTTCTCTCTTGTCTTTATTTTTGACTTGACCTTGGAAGCCTGTATGGAAGTTTTGAAGAAAAGTTACAACTACAAGTTCAGAAATATCTAGAAAGAAAGAAAAAGGTTTATACTTGAACAAGATTATTACAAGAACAAACAACTAACCAAATTTGAAATCTTTGAGGCGATTGCAGATTGTAGAGGTTGTTGATCATCAAGACCAAATTTAGAGTAAGAAATCCTCCATGGCGCAATATTAACGTTTAATTGTGGAATTATTTCCCGAAATGGGCGAGAATCAGTTGAAATACACATAGCACCACGAATTGTTCCATTTTCATCGTGAAATGGCGAGACGTTAGTGATAACAGTAAACCTTTGCCCTCTTTTATGTCGAACAGGAAACTCCCCTGACCATCTTTCTCCCTGTAATCCTCTGTGTATGATGATATTAGCCAGTTCTGAATAATTAGGTGGTATAATGATGTCGGGAGCAGTTTTTCCGATGGCTTCCTCGACTGTGTAACCATAGAGGCTCTGTGCCATTTGGTTCCTGTAGAATTAATGGTTTAAAGAGATGGAAATCAGAAGAAATTGGGGGAAAACGAAGAAGAAATCAAGCGAAATGATCAACATACCAGTAGATTATGCGACCTGTGAGATCGAATACATGCAATGCTTGACCCATTGTCTGTAATATGTTCATATATTGATTTTCTGTCAGCTTCATGGCCCCACCACCGTCGACGGCCGCGCCACCGCCTTCATGGAACCTATCATTATTGTTTTCTCTTCTCAGTGGTAAAATTTTCCGGTAAGATGAAGATTCCGTTTTGGAGAAGGTCTGGGAGGCGCCGCCTCTGACGGGTGATACTGATTTTTTGTACTCGTCGGAGATTATGAGCTTTGAAATCGCTTCTTTGAGGTGGGCATGACCTTTTTCTAGCTCTTGGATTTTCTTCAATAGCATCTCAACTGGTGGTCTTTCGATTGAATTGATGTTCTTATCGTTCTCCATTTCCACACAAATGACAAAACCAAACACTTATTTGAAACCCCAAATTGCGAATTAATCGAATGGCAAAAACCCAAGTTTCTCATGCAGTGATTATTTTATCAATCAGATTAATATAATTTGACCTCGTGAAAGAAACACACATCAAGAAAGTAATAGAAAATGTAAAACCAAGAAACAGAAACACTTTAACTTACACTACTACTTCATTTTCACACACACGAGCACACAATGATTTGAAGATCAATTGATTAATTGTACTTCTCTCTCTCTCTCTCTCTCTGGGTTCTTACACGTAACCATAAAAAGCAAATCCAAAATGCGTCTGATAAAGTTTCTAGCGAGTAGCGACATCCGACAAAGCCTGGACTGTGTTGGACTGTGTCTTCGTTCCACTTCCTCAAAATCGCCCCCAGAACCTATGGGCTTTTTTTATAAAATTTAAATAAGCTATAGAAGTGCCCCCTAGACTATTTATCAAGTTACACTTTTGGTTTCTTAATAAATACTTTTTCCCTCTTGGTGATTTTCATTCCCTAAATTAGCAAAGATGCCCTTATGGCCTTATCCCATAAGAATGGACTAAATTAGCAAAGGTAAACATTAGTACCCACACTAAGGTGCTGTTGATTTTTGTAAAAAACCTTTTCAGACCTTTTATTGTTGCACGGCGTAGCACAAGCGCAACACTTTTAATCTCGCAGCTATTTGTTTTTTAGAAATTTTGAGAGTAAAAAAACTTTTGCGCGTGTTCTGTTTGGCACAACACTTGTATTGCCTCTTTCAGTCTCTTCCAACCTCTTCTTTTTTTTTCTTGCTGAAATCTTGATTATATGTTACTGAAGTTTTATTTTACCTTTTTTTCGTTTTTTTTTTGTTTATTCTTGTTGAATACTTTTTTTTCGATTTTTTATATTGAATAATTCTAAGAAAAAGAATGTAGGATACTAAGAAAAATACTAAGAAAAAGAATGTAGGACAAGCACATTAGCAGAAGAAAGCTAGTACCTTGACTATTAATATATTACTCCACAACTCTACCGTTAAGCCTCCACACCCTTTCATCTAAAGGTCGTGTTCTCCGTAAGGTTATATGTTGTCGTGATGTTATTGCCGGCAACAAACACCACCCCTTGATTCTTTATGTTGTCGTTGGCAAACTTGATCTGCACATTATTATTGTTCACTGTTGTCGTTGGAAGATACATGGAGCACATGAAGATGCATCATAGGCTTGCATTTTTGTGCATTAGGAAAATACACAAGAATGGTGGTAAATGGGTTATGGTTTCAAAACAATTTAATAGGCAAGGATGACACCACACCTCATTCATAGGTATATATTGGCATAAATGTCAAATGCCTATGTGTCACCAAAACTTGATAGACAAAAACATCACCACATCCTTTAGCCTAAAAGCTAATTAATTTAAGACTAACCTAAGAGTGTTCTCTCCTCCTTGCAGTGTCACTGATCATTTTCTCAACCCTCCTATACAGTCTTCAATTGTCTCCTATCGACATATATGAACAACATAATCTTCATTCCCTCAATCTCTTGATATAATGGTGCCACTCTTAGCATAACTCTAAGTGTCATGTTTGATATTTTGTCCAATAAACTTCTACACATATATACGCATCCTCCTAGTTTCCACAAACTCTATATTTTTCTTCCGTTTCTTCGTAATTGGCGAACATTGAGATTTATATAATAAAGTTGGCCTTATATCTACTATGTGAGATTTGCCCTATAGTTTCAGCAAAACTTTGCACAATTTGTTTATGCAAATCAAGTTGCACGCTCATATTCGTTTTTTCGGTTTGGTCAAAAAAAAAAAAAATTTAATACCTATAACACAAAACTTTGTACCCGGCTCGTGTTTGTAGCTTTTTATCATAAGTCAAATTTTGCAATTTCGTGTGTCTTGTTTTGCCTTTTCTGTAGAGTTCAACAAAAGCCACTAATAATTATCAAATACATAAAAAGACCCAGAAAAATAAAAGAAAATGTTACCTTTTCGGAAAAAGAATATTACTTTCAATTATATATTCACATTTTGTATTTATTATTTAACATGCCAATTGTCACATTTATCTAGTTTTCATCGTCTTTTATGCATTCAATTTCCAATGCGTATCCTATTTTGTTTTATAAGACAATGCCTCCAAAGAAATGACGCCAGATGTTGCGTCAAATTTTATACAATGACGTGTGTGAGACATAGGTAGATTCTTCTTAGTACCGAAGAAAACCGAACCGCAATTGTATAAATCGAAAAAAAAAAAAAAAATAAAATAAAACCATAACCGAATCAAACGATTTTTCGTTTTTAAAAATCAAATTTATCGGTTTCGGTTTGAGCCAAAAACCTGACAAACCGTGTGTGTATAGGTTAGGTTCATTTGAGAGGGCATATTTTTAAGACAACCTAAGATTATTCTTTTCTAATGAAATATTCTAATATTCTATTGTTAATAAAATATAATATATGTAATATTCTTATATTCTAATATAATATTGTTCATACATTTTACATTGAAATATTCTAAAAATATATAATGTTAAAACATTATACATATTTTATTTTTCCGAACATTACAATATTAAAATATTTTACTAAAAAGTGTTTTTGGAAATGCTTTTTAATCTCAAAAGTGTTTTTGGAAAAAATATTTATTGGCTTATAGCTTTTTGGAAAAAAAAAATTAAAAAGTATTTGGATTAGTTTTTATGATAGGAAAAACTAAAAATCAATAAGTTAATTTTAAAAAAGTATTTAACTTACCTTTTTAGAGATAAAATAATCAATATGCCAATAAGCCACAAAAAGCTAAAATTTTATGATTTTTTGAAACTCATTTTTTTTTTGGCTAAAAAGTCATTTGAAAATGGCTTTTGAACAACCTAAACATTTTTTTAGCTTATTGGTTATTTGAAAAGTCAATAAACTAATAAGTCAATTTGAAAAGCACTCTCAAACACCCACTAAGATGAAAACAACATTCGAATGTTGCATCATTATGAGACAATTATCGACAAAATAATCACGTACCAAAAGTTCATGTATGGCTTGCCGATCTCGACTGACAAATGTTCTTGTATTACAAACGTTCGTACGATCTTCATCGACTATGTTTTGCACAACATTAAATAATATCGCGATAAACTACCCATCATCATCATAATCAAAATTAAAAAAAAAAATCACCTTTGTAGGGTTAATAATTATAAAAGATAGTGAGGTTTTATGTTTGAAAGTGGTATGATCAAGGTTCTAAATAACGTAAGACGTGACTTGGCGGCAATGTCAAGCCTCAAGCTTTTCCGAGCCTTGGCGAGCCACGTCGTTTGTAAGGCGTGACTTAAGGCGGCAATTTTGTATATAATTCATATTTTTATATGTATTTTCTACTATTATTCATTTTTATACACATATATAAGTCAAGACGGCGTTTTGGTAAAGCTTGGCGGCACATACAAGCCTTGGAGCCATGACGAGCTTTTTAGAACCTTGGGTATGATATACATAGAAGTGTGGTAAGTTTTTTAATTTTTTTTTATAAAAATGATTGTTGCACATTTTATGGAGGAGAGGTGTTGCTATTGGTTGTTGTCGTTCGTCGTCTACATCACATATCACCAGTTCACCACGGCCACGACAAACCACAATCCACCAGGGTGGTGTTAACGATCCTGGTCGTTGCCACCTCAACGAAGAATCTCCTCCTTGACAACCACTCCAAATGCCTAACAATATATATCAACCAAATTTATTGATAACCAAATAAAATGATATCAAGTATAAGATATTAATAAGTTGGGACTAGCCCATTTGACTTAACTTGGAGGTTCTAAACTAACATCTAACTAGGAGATCCTGGTTCAATCCCAGGGAAAGGAGAATAGATAATTATTTGTCGTTTAAAAAAAAAAGGTATAAGATATTAATTACAAAATTAATACCTTGAAAATAATATTTTTGATATTTTTATATGAAATTAATGTTTTAGTGGATACATTGAAGATGAACTAATACCTTTGTCCTCTTGCTTGTCAACTTGCAAAAGAAGATGTATGGAATATATCCATCCTATGCGTACGTAACGTTAAATTTAGCAAGTCAATCCTGTTAAGTAATATGCGATTTAAAATTTTGTTTTATATAAAACTTACAAAGATATTCACAAAAATGAAAAACATCATCAGAAATGGAAGTTTAATCAAAAGATCAAGTTTTTTGTATTTTGGAAAATATTGTTCGAAATGGATTATTATCGACCAAGCTTATATCATATTAAAAGTATTTTTTTTCTTATAAAAATATACATTTAACAGTGTCTTCAAAATACCATTTTGTTCGGAATAGGTTATTACAGACCAAGTTTATATCATATTTAAAGTTTTTTATTTTAATAAAAATGGATTTTTCCGTATGTCACTTCGGACTATTTGGGATTCCGAACAGAAAAAAATAATATTTCGAAATTTCAAGAACAAATGCAAAATCCGATTAACAATTCTAAAATTTCAAAAAAAATATATTTTATTTATAACTAAAAATCTAACGAATTAGTTAAAAAACAATAGCGCATGAAAAGTAAATATGATAAAAAGGGCTTAACATGTATGCTTCGCAACATGTGCAATGGCGTAGCTACCTACAACAAATATATGTCCTAAGACCTATCTAATTTTTTAATTTAATATTAGGTTTATATAGAAGAAAATAATAATTACCTTGAAAAAAATTAGGACTTACTATTCAACAAAATAAGAAAACTAATAAATAAAAAAATATTGAAGGCTTATACTTAAATTTAAAGGAAATGGTTAATATTTTCAAAATCTATCCCACATTGAGAGATAAAGAGAAAGTAATTTAGTTGTTTAATGTTATAAAAATGAATGATAAATGATTATTAAGAACTTTAATATGCAATACAAGTCATCACATATTGTTGGTCGTAAAAAATGTTTCTTACATATGAAATCTTTAAAA